ATTGACCACTTACAAGCTTTAACTACAAATAATTATAATACTATTGCTACTTCTACACTTTATAGTTTACCAGAGCACACAGCCCGGTGTTCTTACTCCGTTACTTGACGTTTCCTGGTAACGNGAATGAGAATTGGCGGAGGAAAACAACCCCAGTGCCACTGCGTCCATCACAAATCACACATGACCTAACCTGGGATCGAATCTGGGACCCCGGAGATTGTTATTGCAATGTATTATCATGTGTACTGGTGACTATAGACGGGGTTTGGATTGGTAAATATATTTATTGACCACTTACAAGCTTTAACTACAAATAATTATAATACTATTGCTACTTCTACACTTTATAGTTTACCAGAGCACACAGCCTGGTGTTCTTACTCCGTTACTTGACGTTTCCTAGTAACGGCTTCAATAATAGCTATTCCTCTGCCTCCGGCCGCAAGTCCTTCACAGCATTCCCTAAAAAACTGACAACTTAAGTCAAGTCAAAGTCACATTGCGACTGACTGTCAATCAGTGAGTAAGTCTTAGTGTCGAGCCCCATCTGGGGCTCATGACCAGATATTTATTACTGTTTGTTAGCTACGGTCTTGTTTTTGTGGGACGCCCTCCCTGACGAGAGGAGGGGTCTGTCTTTTGTATGTACAGCAGGACCTTACCAGCGTATTCTTTCTCGGGTCCGACTCCCTAGGGACTCACGACCATATTTTACTGTCTCAGATTTGAGACTTCCCCTTTCATCGCCTCCTACGATTCGCAGGCTGACGGTGGAGGTATTCTACTCCGCCTTCATCGCTTCGGTGCTGATACATATACTAAAAACTGACAGTTGAAGCTATTTCATGTCGCTGTAGCAAAGCTGGGAGCTCTACCACTTTGTAGGATCTCAGCTGTGTCAGTGGTCAGAACTTCGAAATCCGAAGGCCCGTTGTGTGAGTCAGTACTTTGAGGAGAAGAGAGGAGGAGAAGGAAATAATAGGAGGAGAAAGAAGAAGTTCTTGGAAGAAAGAGAAGAAGAAGAAGAAGAAGAAGAAGAAGACGAAATTGGGGGTGGTAGCGAGAGACACTACATTTGAGGGGGGGGGCTAAGAAACTTGAACTTGTCCCTTGCTTATAACATCTCGGTACGGACCACGTAGAAAATACAGCTCTGCCATTGATGCGTTCGTGTTTCTTGTTGCGGGAACATATTTACCGAGCCGTTTCCCAGAAACGGCCCTGGTATATTCACCTAACTCTGGGTCGTTACATAGCAACGGCTCTGCACACTACCTTGTTGTGGTGTATAGATCCGTTGCTAAGGAAAGACCTCGAAACAGACAGCGAGTGCAGCCGTTGATATGCAGTAGGCGAATCAACAAAGGGCCATTTATATGCAACGGATCGGTAAACACGACTACAAAAATAGAACTGTTGAAAGCGGTGTTTTCTGCTGGTCCACCCTGAGGTATACAACGAAGACCCCAGAGCAGCTGAGAGATAGTGGAGGGTTAGCAGCTCATTTGCACCTTGCATGGGAGGCTGAGAAGAGATGGTGCTATAGTCGAGTTGACAGTTAACAAGAGTTCTGCACGGGCGGCTGTGATAAAACCACCTGAGCGCAGGAAGCTGAAGGATCTCCACTGTTAGAAGCCGTTGCTACGAAACGGCTGGTGAAGACAGCAAGCTGGAAAAGGCTTGGCGGGTGCTGTGGTAATTTGTGAATAACGGAGATTAGCGATAGCGCTGTAATTTGGTTGTAATTCCAAGTGGTGTGTGTATAAGTGGTCAATAAATCCATCCACCAATCCATTCTCCGGCTATAGTTACACCCCTAAAGCATGACATAATCAGAAAAATGGCAGCGGTGCGAATTTTTAAAATCTTATAGATACATTATAGTCGGAAGCAGTATGTGAGAGGAGTGGACCACGACTATGTGTGGTTGTTGGTTTATATTTCTTACTGACCTCAAGAGAGAAGCACTTGATGAATCATTGCCTATACAGGATGTTTCACGACTTTAGGGCATAACTGCAGGAGGTGATTTCCTAGGTCTTTGTGATCAAAAAAGTTCATATAAACATGTGTCCGATTTTGGACGGTTACGGAGTTATGACCGTTTTTTCATTCCCGTACACGCCCTCGTGTGACCCGCGTCTATCATCTGACGGGTCACTTTTTTAGCTAGCTACAGACAGAGCGTTCTCGTTATCTCGACACTTGAGAGGTACCTAAGGCGTGGTGGGTTAGTATGTACCCGCGCGGTTCACAACCGAGCGGCAGCCTGAGTTGCGGCCGGCGGTGGCTTTTTCGAAAATCAGCTTTAAGCACCAAAAATTTCAGATTATAGGTAATTTCACGAAGTTAACTTTACAGTCATACTTTAAATGTATCATGTATTATGCTGGTTTATTATTTTGTTCCGTTTATTTTCGGTAATCGTTACCTTCTATTCTGAGTTTAAAACGGTCATAAGTCCGTAACCGTCCAAAATCACACACATGTTTATATGAACTTTTTTGATCACAAAGAACTAGGAAATCACCCCCTGCAGTTATGCCCTAAAGTCATGAAACACTCTGTATATTTTTGTAAGGTCTACCTACCCAGACGAGATCATAGTTTAAGTGTTCACGAAGTGTATGAAACTAATTAGCACAGGCAGCAGACACAACTGCCTCGGAAAACAGAATTTGTAGCTTTCTTGGCGTCAGGGCAATCCCGTAACCTTCTCTCTTCTGTAAAAGTAAATAAATAAAGGTATCTCTGTAACAGGCCGTGGAGGCCCATAGGGTTGTGAGATGTTGCGGTTCCCACATTTTCTCTAGACAGTCGGTTCATAGATGGCGGTAAGGTTGTCAGCCCTACGCGCCGACCGCCCTTTACCCCCAAGAATATTCCAAGAATATTCATGGTACTCATTTCTGTTAGAGGCTGAGTCGACCCCAGGACCATAGTGCGGCGGGAGGGATTAGGTAAATTGGAAAAAAAAATCCAATGACCTCATCGGGATTCGATCCCGCGACCTCCCGGCTTGTAACATAGTGCCTCAACCAACTACGCTACCGCGTGCCCCCTTTTTGTCTTCTGTAGTCCGGTGAAAGTCAATCGACGTTTCTGCCTGCTTCATGCTGTTTTTTTCTTGCTTCGACTCAAGGAATGGGGTAATATGTTCCTCCGAAACGTAGGTTGGCTCACCCAACTACGAGGGATAGTCAGTAAATAGGCCACAAGTGGATATATCACGTAAAATATTCGAAATTAAATGAAAATTATTTCTCTACATATCTTCCATCAACATTGATTCGCGTGCCCCATCTTTTACCGGTGCGTCGAAACCCGCAGCATAGAAGTCCTTCGACTGTTCTCAGCCAATTCCACATCTCTGCTTCATCATCTCCGACTTCCGAGCGTCGTTGAGAGGATTTTTTTGACCCAGTTGTGCACCGCTCTGCGCGACAAACACTTCCACTTTCTTTATGAATATCCTTTGCATTGATTCCTCTTGTCCACAAAACACTCACAACAGAACGCTGCTCTTCGATATTACACTCGTGATGCAGGGTAGCCATTTTGACTACTGAAATTGGTTTCCGAACATGAGCATGCTCGTCTGCTACCTAGACTGTCATGAAGCTGGACTATGCTGCTACCTAGTGATACACACTGACTCCCTCGTACACGGCGTTAGCCACGACTAGAATCTCAGATCCAACAAGGTGATCCTGGCCTTTCTGTGTAGTGTGTACTCCATTTCCTGGGGAAACGAGTATGCGTCATTGGGAGTTAGTGACGTGCTCCTCTACGTCATCTTTAAGAATTAATAGATTCCATTTTCAACATATTTCCGGCATTCATACGCCAGTGGGAAATTCGGACATGTTTACACAGGACTTTTCTTCCGTAAGGTTGCCTACACAGGGTAGGGTAGATGGTTTTAGTGAAGGCCCTTTCGGGGTAAAAGGTTACGCTGCTAAGAGTTCATAGTTAAAGGAGGAGGATAAATTGATTCAGAACACAATATATTCTCACGTCTCTGTGTCTCTGACAATGCAGTGTATTGTAGTGGGTCGACAGTAAGGTTACAGAGCAACATACTACCTCCTCCTTCAGGGTAGGCTGGACTTTGGAAAAAAATGGTATGTACGTTATATAGGCTAGAACGGATGAAGATGGGGACTTGAGGCGACCAGTAGGAGCAAAGAGAAAAATGTGTAAATGTTATTTCGCTCATTAAAAAGGTACTTTATCATGGGCAGAATGATTCGGAGAAATTATGGCCGGGCGAACCAGTGGGAGGCGGAGGGAAGTCAGGAGATGAAGAGCAAGGAAAATGCAGAGGGGGCTGAGTGAAAGGACGGGAGGTCAAAACACTAACAGAGGGCCTAATTCAGAGGGTAGAGTAGATGGGAAATAAACAAGTGTAACAGGCCGTGGAGGCCCATAAGTTTGTGAGACGTCGAAGCTCCCACATTTTCTAGACACCGGGCTCAGAGATGGCGGTGAGGTCAGCCTTACGCACCGTCGGCCCTTTACCCAATTGAAGACTCCTGGTACTTATTTCTGTTAAAGACTCCGTAGAATCCAGGGCCGTAGTGCAGCTGGAAGGATTAGGTAAATTGAAAAATCCAAATGACATCGGGAATCGTACCCGCGGCCTTCCAGCTTTTAGCATAGTGTCTCGACCAACTACGCTACGGCTTGTCGCAGTGTCTAGAGGTAGGATGGTTAGTTAAAAGGTAAATTTGTGGAACTTTGCAGGCGCTTGCAAACGGCACATCCATATAGACAGAGGGGTGGGATTCCAGAAACAACTTTGTCGTATTCACGAGTGTTGAAGACGCATAAATCTGTCTCATTATTTTTACCTATGCTCTATGGATAGAGGAAGAGAACATTTCCCATATCCATCCGTTATTCAGACAAATGCTTTGAGTTTCTAGCTGTTGCGTTCAGTGTCTTGCCCAAGCTCCTATCTACTTGGTGGTGATGAAATACTTTCTGTGCCCTAGATGGCTCCCAGGGCGGCCCCAGCGGGGGCTCAGCACGCTGAGGGAGCTGTTGTCACTGCTGTTGCTGCTAGTATATCTGGTTGAGCTGGGTGACGCTTTGCTGGGACGCTGGGCGCTTCATGCTCTCCTCACCCCCGTCGCGTCCCTGCTGGCCTGGGCAGCGTGGCTGCCCCTGCATCGGGTACCCGACGGCTGGACTCTGCGCGCTCTGGGGTCGGTGTGCTGGCTTGCGGCTGGAGCCTGTAGGCTGCACCGCATGGCACAACTGGTTAACCTGCCACTCGACTGGGGCCACATGCGCCCTCATGCGGCGGCGTGGTCTGGGGCCCTCTGCCTAGCCATGTTCACAGTCGAGGTGTACTCCACCTGCCGGGCGGTAAGTATCCCATCTTTTTTTTTTTTCCTTGGCACTACAGCCCCAGTGGGCCTAGGCCTACCTCCATGAACTTCTCCGTTCACTTCGGTTTTTCTAGATCTTAGACATTCGGTAAGACTCCTTGGACGGGTGATCAGCACGTCGCAAGGCCTCTACCTGTACACAAACACAGAAAAACGCACACAAACATCCATGCCCTGAGTGGGATTCGAACCCACGATCCCGGCTTCCGAGCGAGCGAAGACAGTGCACGCCTTAGACCGCTCGGCTACCGTGACCGGCCTCCATTACTCCATAGTCCAGGTTATATGACTTCGGCACTACACTCTCCTCTTAGTGGCATTTTGATCACTGATGAGTGGCTTTGGAATTGCAGCTCCTCCAGAAATACCCTGCTTGTGGAGTTCCCTTCGCACTGTTTTGGTGCTGACAAGGTTTGTGAGCGTGACATTCAGTTCAACAGTCACTTCTTATTTTTTGTCACAATCCTACGCAATGTTCGTCTCTCTAGATCACTCAACACACATTTCGGTCCACGCTGGTATTTATCGGATGCGGTTTTTCCAGTCCTCCTGTATGCGGCCATAATCTTGGATACTGTGCCTCGCGAAACACCAGAAACCTCGGCTACCTTGGTTACGGAAGCACCCACCATATGGGCCCCAACAATTTGCCCGCGTTCGAATTCTGTTAGCTCTGACATGATGCACTAAAAACTGCACAGAACACTGTCTCGACAACAAATGAAGCTTGCAACGTACTGCGGAGGTTGTGCAGGTAGTGGTGTTGGGCAGATACGACATCGTCACCTACAAACGTCGCTAAAATAAACACTTCAATTTAGGCATACATTTCACGAGGTGTTTCCATATTTTTGCCCATCCCCTGTAACTCTTAAGAACACTCATGTCAGCACTTTAGTTACAATTCCTTCTGTCGTATACCCCTGGCAGATATGCAATTTATGCTCATAGAGCTATGCTGTTTACGCAAGCCCAGTTCCCCTGCCGCCGTCAGTGGTATAGCATCTCGTGGTAGATTCTTCTTTACTCAAGAGTTCTGTATTTTGGGGTGTCTGCAGTACTAATGAGCAATATCGAAAGATTTTTTTTTCTTGGCACTACAGCCCCAGTGGGCCTAGGCCTACTTCCATGAACTTCTCCGTTCACTTCGGTTTTTCTAGATCTTACACATTCGGTAGGAAGCCTTAGGCGGGTGATCAGCTCGTCGCAAGGCCTCTACCTGTACACAAACACAGAAAAACGCACACAAATATCCATGCCCTGAGTGGGATTCGAACCCATGATCCCGGCTTCCGAGCGAGCGAAGACAGTACATGCCTTAGACCGCTGGGCTACCGTGACTGGCATCGAAAGATTTACACTATGCAATTCTTATTGGTAGCAGAATGTACCTACTGAAAATTGAAGAGTGTTTGCTGGAATGATGACGTCCGAATTAGAATACAATAAACCCTCGCTAATTCGGTTACAGTTAATCCGGATTTGAATATTACTCGTAAAATGCTTTTCACAGTTGAGTACATCCTGTCCCGTGTACGGGTGACTATAGACGGAGTTTGGATTATTTATGCACACGACTAGGATCTATAAGTCATTACAGCGCCACCGCTAACCTCCACAGTTCACAAATCACTACAGCGTTCGCTAAGTCTTTTCCAGCCTGCTTTTGTTTTCACCAGCCGTTCCCTGGCAACGGTCTCAAAAAGTGGATATTCTTCAGCATCACACGCTGAGGTCCTATCTTCACAGCCTCCCGTACAGAACCGACTTTGTCCCTTTTTTATAATATATCAGCCTGGACCACATACAAAATATTGTTCTTCTGTTGTTGCTTTCATGTCCGTTGTCGTGGAAATGTGATGGCCAAGCGGTTGCCCTAAAACGGCCGCGGCGCGGACCACAGAAAACACATTTCTTCTATTGCCTGCATATATGTTGCTGGCGTTACCTAGCAACGGCCGTTGTTTACAGTCACCGATTATCAATGGGTCTGTACGCTAAAATACTTTAAAAGACACGTGGCATTTAAGAAGGCAGATGAGTCACTTGTCGGTTCAGACAAAATTTAACAATTTATTCAAACCTGAATTATTATTTTCAAAAACACGCACAAATTTTGTCTTCTATCGATGAATAAATGTATTGTTTTTATAGTTTTTAAATAAAGATTCTAGAGTTATATTTCTTTATTTTCATCACAACTAGTTATGTCGTTAATTTTTCCTCATTGTGTGTGTGTTGTAAGTTTTTATTTTCTTTTAAGGTTACGTTTCACAGCAACACTCTCATGAAACTGCTAAAAGCGAGGCCATGGAACTAAACTTCGCATAGAGACCCAGTAGAATGAGACGGATCAAATGGAAGCAGTCGAATAAAACTATTCATATTCATTCATATATTCAGGCAAATTCAGTTAGACGAAGAGGAAATTGAAAGAAACTGCTCACATAGAGGAAATCAAGTGAAACCACGCAAGCAGAAAAAACCGACTGAAACTACTGAAATAGAGACTAACTAACTAATTAACTAACTAACTTTATGGAGCTGAGCCCTTCTTGGGAAGCCACCAGTTGTGCAGCTACTTAGGAACTACCCAGCATTTTATGGAACCCGAAGGTTCATTACCGTGTTCACAAGAGTCCTCCACTTGTCCCTATCCTGAGCCAGATCTATCCAGTCCATGCATCGTATATCTCTAACATCCATTCTATAACATCATCCACACAAATTAATCTTGGTTTTCCTAATGATCTCTTTAATTTTGGTTTTCACACCAATATCCTATATGTATTCCTCTTCTCATTTGTACGAGCTACATGTCCTGCCCATCTTATCCTTATTGACTTGGTCATTCTAATTATACTTGGCGAAGAGTAGAAGTTATGAAGCTCCTCATTATGTAGTTTTCTCCAGTATCCCGTCACTTCATCTCTCTTCCGTCCAAATATTCTCTACAGCATCCTGTTCTCAAACACCCTCAGTCTATGTTCCTCCCTTAATGTCAGAGACCAAGTTCCACACCCATACAGAACCACAGGCAAAATTATACTTTCGTATATTCTAGTTGTTACGTTTTTAGACAGCAGACATTGTGACAAAAAAATTCTGGACTGAATGGTAGCAAGCATTACCGGAATTCAGTCTCCTCTTAATTACCTGCTGAATCAAGTTTTGATTTGTTACTGCCGTTCCCAAATGTATGAACTGTGCCACATTTTCAAAACAACTGTTGGCTGTCTTTATGTCATGATTTAGCCCTACATTCTGGCGACGAGACCGCAACATAAGTTTCTCTGTGTTTACTTCTAGACCAACCTCCATTATACCGTCCATTAAATTTTATGTGCATTTCTTTCTGGCATCTTTGTTATCGCCCAATGGATTCACATCATCAGTATAGATCAACAGCTGATGTGTCCCATTCAGTTTAAGTCGCACATGGTTTTCCTGAACCTTCATAATGGCATATTCTAAAGCAAAGTTAAAAAAAGCAGTGGCGATAAAGCATCCCCTTGTTTTAGTTCATTCTGGATAGAACAAATGTTTACTTATACGGACTTTATTATACGTTTCATTTAAACACCGAAGTAGACGTAGTAGTATTAAACTACTCAAATGGACGTAATCGAAATATCTGTGAAAACACAGAAAACTGAATTCATCTACACAAATAGATGGAATTGAATTAAGTTACCGACATACCGACATTACTGAATAAAACTATCCAAGCAGAGGAAATCGGGCGCAGATATTCAGTTACTAAAGTTCCGAAGGAAAAGAAGATATCCCGGTGTTCAAAACTTCCCGCGGTTTTATTCCAGTTGCTGTTCAATCAGCAAATTGCATCAGACGTGTGATTTCAGAAAGAATGCAAACGGAACGGCGCACTTTCTGTCTCTTTGCGATGTGAATATATTTCAGTTCCTTGTTCTTTGCTTTCTTCTTTCAATTACTCTGCTGGACGTCTGCTGTGAAGAGATGTGTCATAATAGTCCTCATGAAAGAAAATCCGCAAAAATGCGGAATATTTGTCTTCTCACAGATTCGGAAACCAGATACGCTCTGAGAAGGAAGCTAGTTTATAAGATGAATAAGGTGCTGAACCCGGCAACCATCAGCTGTTATGAAGTGACATTATAACTGGAACAAACAGCCGTTACTAGATTACGGCACGGTAAAAACGTGATAGCGCCATGAAGCTATTATTCAGTACTACGCAACGGTCGGCAACAGTGATAGCGGATGGTAGCCAGCGGATACCAGACCAGGCTGGGGGTCAACGACCAGGAGTTGTGGCCATGAGATCAGATGTGAGACACTCGCCAGCCAGCGACGACCGAAGCAGAGGAGTCCACATTGTTAGAAGCCGTTACTAGACAACGTTATAATTATTTGTAGTTGCGTGTTATAAGAATCAATTAAATCCAATTACCAATCCAAAAGAATATATGTTGTTTTTAAATTCGCATGGTGGGGAGTGGAGTCCAGTTGGGTCCACTCGGCACGGCGGCCACTGATTGGCCTATTGTAATGGCGATCATGATGATGGAAAATTTGGCGGAATGAAGATTGGTAGGGAAACCGAAGTACTCGGAGAAAACCTACCCCAGCGCCACTTTGTCCACCACAAATCCTACTTGACCAGACCCGGGTTTAAACCCGGGCCGCCGCGGTGCGAAGCCAGCGACTAACCGTTTGAGCTATGGCGTGGCCTAATTACCAATCCAAACCCCGTGTCTTGTCATTAAACACGTTACACTATTTTTCTTCCAACCAAGAACCCTGGCTCTGATATGACCATATACAGAGATTGATTTGCCTGAAGTTTTGTAATAACAACAAACCGCGTAGTTGGCAAGCTTCTGGCAAGCAGGAAACACATTCTTCTGGAAACGAAGCTGCTTACAATAAGGGACTTGTATTCCAGGAAATTTGCATTGACTGATTCATAGTTAGGAAAGGCTCGCATGACAACCG